ATAAAAAAAAAAAATTAAAAACAAGGCAGTTACTATTACACAAGATATATCAATCAACACAACCTAAAACTGCTCTGAAGATACAGTATATACTAAAGTCAATTTTAAATTGCATTTGTTGTCTAAAACTGTTAAGACAATGTGTAAAATCATAATAAAAGTATAAATTATGAACACATCGGTTACAAACCCATGAGTATTGAAACACTCGGAATAAAACATGTCTAAATCAAAACATTTTAAATAAAAAATTCACATGAAAGAGTAAACAATGGTTCTTCTAAAAAAGTAACACAGTAATGCTCTCAAATAGAAAAATGTGTATCTATTTAAAGATTTTAAAAGATGTAAGTTCTCAGTGCAGGTTTTAGCATGTTGACAGTTATTGTGAAACTTTAGAATGCTATACCTCTCCCTGCGGAGTTGAAACTTATAATTCAATCCATTTAAAGAATCACTACTAAAAATACTAAAAACTAGTTAACCTCACTAATCGATTAGTTATTGGAAAACTAGTCAACCACCCTGCCCATCAGTAGTATGCCTGTATGTCCATAAGCAGGTGCAGCAGCAAGTTGTTTATTTAGAGGGAGTTATGTCCGTGTATGCATGTCTGTAATATTGCATGTTTTCTTTGAGGTTGTGCCTCTGTAGTTTGTTATAGAGCACAGATGAGATATAAGATATTTAATAGAGATCAGTTTAAGGTTCTGTTAATGTGTCTGTTCGCAGGGAAATTAAATTAGCTAAATAATTGCCTTGCCAAAAAAAGGCCCGTCGAGATTGTCAAAACAACTCGCAGCCTCCTTTCTTTAAAGGAGGTTGGTTTTATTCTTTGTATTTTCATAGACTACAAAGACTAATTATGAAATTATGCACTTAAATTAATAATGAATGAACTCACTAAGGGGTTCGTCTTTTCATTTTCTTAAAATATTAAGAATATGACTCAGTTCCACAACAATCGTCGTAACCTAAGTGTACGTAGGTGTGTGCGCTGGTGCTTTTTTCTTAGCAAACAGCCTGGTTCTGGTCCCCCACTGAGATCTCCACTGTCGCACCGCTGTGTGATGGAGAAGAGATGTGTATTTGTGTGTGTGTGTGTGATACTGGTGGGAGAAATCCCTTTGACTAAAGCAGTGGCCTTGGTCTGCCTCACCTTATCCTCAGGCAAGAACTCCAAAGGACGCAAGAACAACTGCTAGCAATGTTATGAAAATGCCATCAGGCAAAGGGGCATTACACAACAGATTGTTTTATGAACCCATTATTGTACGCTCAAACACACAATCATGCAAACACACATCCACCCACACGCACATATACACACAATGAAAATGGCATTACTGGGCATGCCAATGTGGGGCCAAATGCTCTGGGGCACAAAGGGAGGAGAGCGAGGAACACAGCTGAGATGGTGGAGATAGAGAAAGACAAATGGAGAAGTTAGGCAGAGAGAGTTCTCCGTGTCTTTCTTTTCTCGGTGTGTTCTCTGAATGTATCATTATCCAGAGCTGAAGTTCTGCATGACAGTGCTTCGGAAACACATTTAATTTACACTAACCTTTCCATTTCTATTTTCCCACACACACTTTCTCACTTTTGGAGATTGGTGCAGCATGTCCAGAATATTCACAACCACATAAATACACTGCTGTCCAAAAGTTTGGGGCTGGTAAGATTTAAATAACTGTTTTCTATCTGAATATAATTAAAAATTATTACTGCGATGGCAAAGCTGAATTTTCAGCAGCCATTACTCCAGTCTTCAGTGTCACATGATTCTTCAGAAATCATTATAATATGCTGATTTGCCGCTCGAAACATTTCTTATTATCTGTGTTAAAAACAGTTGTGCTGTGCTGTGCTGTGAAAATCATGAAAAAAAAATTTTCTTAGGATTCCGTGATTAACAGAAATGTTTTATAATATTATAAATGCCTCTACTGTCACTTTTGATCAATTTAATGCATCCTTGCTGTAAAAAAAATACTGACCCCAAACATTTAAACAATGTATAGTATAGAATAGTGTATACATATTATTGATATAAAGCACAGTGATTTCACTCAGATCAGCCAAAATCTAAGACTTAAATATGAATTCAAACATGTCTAACCAAATTAGGACTATGCTATAGACACTTACTGTGCAGGATACATGTCAACAATTGTCTCATTAGCTTCTTTTAGCTAACAATTTAAAAGAAACAGCTGAGAATGTTGTGACAGTAAACAGAATTAATGAATTAACAGCAACAATAATTGGTTTAAACAGATTTTCTTGAACACAATCCTTTCCACCAAACTCACACCATTAGTTGACCCAACGTTGCTGTTTCAAGCTTGTCAGGATGCTGTAAGCTATGAAAGAGCAACACATGAGTATTAAACCACTGTCTAGGATCACAATATTTATATTTAAAGAAACTTTAAAACATCAGTGTCAGGCTTTGAATAGTGCCGTATCGCTGCTTCTCAGTTTTCTGGTTCAGACCGGGGTCTTAATGAACGACAGAGGGATTGGTAATCCTCCGTAATCCAGAGAGAAAGAGAAGGTGGCATGCCGTTTGAAGCGAGGGCAGCGAGAAGTTCTCCATTCACCCCCTGCGGTATCTGGCATGCTTTAGCTTGTGTTTGTTTGGCGCAGGGCATAGCACTCTTTCACATTTGTGATTCACTTTGTGTGTACACTGTGGATTTAGCGCTGTCTGTTTCCATTAATGAGGATAAGTGCAGCGCTGTTCTCGAGTTCCACTGCATTTGTGTAGCAAGATCTTTAAAGAACGAAAAGGAAGGGGGGAGGCAGTACCACATAGGCCTTTAGCTGCAGGGTTTCTGTTTAAGTCAAATAGCAGATGATGGCTGCCTCGCCTTCAGAGGAGCAGCAGACGGTTAGAAGAGGTTAAATTAAAATAATTCCACCAAAGACTCTGTCAGAGGTTTTCAGCGGAAGCTTTCGCTTAATGTGCGCTATCCAAACATGAACTCAAACTAGTCACTGCTAGACAGGCTAATGCTACATATATCGTTAAGTGTTAATGTCGTCTATCTCATAATGTATGCGTAGTTCTTGTGATTAATGGTTTTAAGTGGTTTTAAAGACTTTTTAAGGGTTGGTAAAGAAAAGCGATACACTTTGAAAAGAAGGGTAGTTAAAAGAAATGCTTTCACAGTTTTATGTCTTTCTGCACATTGAATGTTTTAAATTAAAATATATGTCTTTTCTCTTCCTTCCCTTTCTTTGTTGTAACTACAGGGCAGAGTCTTGGCTATGGCTTCGTCAACTACATTGACCCAAAAGATGCAGAGAAAGCCATCAACACGTTAAATGGACTCAGACTTCAGACCAAAACTATTAAGGTACGTGACCACACTAGCCGAAACTGTAAACTTGAATAAGCATTTGCCATAAACAGCTTTGCCATAACAGAAATAAATTACATTTTAAATTCTATTAAAATAGACTTAAATTTAAAATTGTGAAAATATTTCACAATACTACAGTTTTACTGTATTTCTGGTATTTGTGATCAAATACATTTTTGATTAAAATAAAAACAATCAAAATTTACTGACCCCATAATTTTGAACGATTGTGTGTGTGTGTGTGAATACATATATACACACTAATATATACACACTATAGTATAATACTATAATACATACTATAATAATAATAATATTTATTGAATCATTTAAAAAAAATAGTTTTTATAAAAAATTATTTTAATTACTTATTTTTTATTATTTAATTTAAGTGTGTACGAATTGCATAACATTTTAATTAAATGAATTAATGTGAATTAATTAAATGATATTCCATTTAAATAATTGAATGCAATTAACAGATTTTCTAAAATTACATTATTTTTGTATGATTACTCGCAGTAAATTAACGTAAAAACCAAGAACAGCTGTATTGTGGTGCATTTTTATGCATACCTCAGTGTGTACGTTGGGATCAGCGTTCAGGTTCATGTTGATAGGTTACTGCCTGCCTGCTGTTTACCAAACACTTTTCAGCCAAAGCAACCCATATTACGCTAATTGCAGTAGCGGTCCCCCCCTGGAGCCAGCACCTCTCGCTCAAGGGCACAGCGTTGAGAAGGTTCTCTCAGTGCCTCTCCAGTTAACAGGTCACCCGCACCTGCAATTGAACCTATTTAAACATAACAGATAACAGACGGTAACAGAGCAACATCTCATTTAGGTGGAAGCGTCCTCCCAGTCGCCATTTCTCACGTCTGCGCCAGTCAATTCAGCGAATGTTTCCTGTCACCGTTTGTGCCAGTGGAGCTGCAGTGATTAGTACAATTGGCGTACACTGGCTCGTGCTGGGCTGAGGCGCGGCAGCACAAAGAGAGAGGAGGGCAAATCTGACTCATTAGGATGTAGAAGGAAACAGGAAAGCAACTGAAGGAAGAATAGGGAAAAATAGTGTAATTGATATGTAAATGAATCTCCAAATGTCAAATCAAAATCATGAAGTCACACAAAAAGAGGGAAATAGCATGTATAATGAAATGTGGACATGCTAAATAGATGCCTAAAATGTGTCTGGTTTTCACTGTGGAAATTGTGATCTGTTCTATTCTGTCATGCTCTGCTATATTTTATTCCATTCTATTCTGTTCAGACACATTGGTATTTTGTCATATTTTTGTTCTATTATGTTTCAATTTTCAATTCAATTTTATTTGGATATATTTTATTCTGATCTAATGTCATATTCTTATCTGCTATTTTCTGTTTTATTTTGTCATTCTGATGTTCTATTCGATTCTATTTTATTGTCATTTTATTCTATTTGGTTCTGATGTGTCATTTTATATTCCATTCTATTTGGTTTTGTTATATTTTATTAATGTTCTGTTTTATTCTATTTTATTCTCTTTTGTCATTCTACTGTCATTCAGTATTCTGATCTATCATTTTGTTTTCTATTCTATTTTATTCTATTCAGTTTTGTTATATCAATGTTCGGTTTTATTCCATCTCTATTGTCATTCTATTCTTTTCAGTATTCTGATCTGTCATTTTCTATTCTATTCTATTCTGTTTTATGCTTTGGCAATGTTGTTTTATTCCATCTCTATTGTAATTATATTCTGTTCAGTATTCTGATCTGTCGTTTTCTCCTTTTCTTTTCTGTTTTATTATATTTTATTCTCTATTGTCATTCTATTCTGTTCAGTATTCTATTCTGTAATTTTCTATTCTATTCTGTTTTATTACATTTTATTCCCTATTATCGTTCTATTCTATTCAGTATTCTGATGTCATTTTCTATTCTATTCTGTTTTGTTTTATTCCATTTTATTTTCTTTTGTCATTCTATCCTGTTGTCATGTTTTTTGTTCTGATCTGTCATTTTCCATTCAATTCTATTTGTTTAGTTTTTTTGTGTTTTATCAATGTTATGTTTTTTTTTTCTTCATTTTATTCTTTGCTGTCTATTTTATTCTCTTAGCTGTTTTGATATTCTATTCAACTCCATTTTATTCTCTTCTGAGTTATGTTCTATTCTGATCTGGTCTGATTTCTTCTATTCTTTTCTAATGTACTCATTTCTGTTCTATTATTAAATTAAATCATGCAATGAAATAGATCCGCCACAATCTGATGGCTTCCATTTTCCTCAGCAGCATTTGTGGTAAATTTAGAAGCAGCAGCTGGTTTTAACAGTAAATTCTGACTGCTGCTCAAGGCATAATCTGGCTGTGTGTGTGTGTTTTCATCTGGCCTATAATCCCAGACCTCTCACTTTTATCCACCCTAATCTAATCAGATTGGATTTCGCCTGTTTATGAAAACACGGCTCAGTGTGCGTGGCTCAGTACCTGTTAACATAACAGCAAAAGAATGTGTGTGTTTGTGTGTGGGAGCAAGAGAAAGAAAAAAGAGAGACACGAGAAAGAAAAGACTTGTCAGGACTGTTTTTGAAAGAGCACAGCACAATGCTCACAAACAGGGGCGTTTTCCAGAGTGGCAGTGTGTATGTGTTGGCCGGCAGTGTTTCTAGTACTGGTTTCAGCATCAGCTAAGAATCCATCAGAGACAGAATGACTCACTCTGTGTGTATTTGCCGATCATCACAGCTTCCTGCCACGCGGCACTTCTCTCAGTGACAAAACACACTTCTAGGGAGGCCGCGATACACATACATAAACACACTGTTAAAACACTGCACTTATCAGCCAAACACACCTCAGGTTTTTGTTCCCATCCTACGGCTACAGCCAAATGACTTCTGAGCTGGGTTTTTTTACCATAGCACAATCCTGAAAAATACAAAAAAATTTAAAAAAATTTAATTTGGCTGTAGTTCATGGCTACTTTGTACTGTGAATCACTCAAAACCTCCTTCTAACAAACTATTTATTCAATCCATCACAGCAGTTACTGAATTAACATCCGACTCACTGAACTGCAAGTCATCATAGCTGTCATTCATCTCTGACTCAAAATAAACCAACATGTTATGTGAACCACATTAGGAAATGAGAATCGTGAGACTTAAGTATGATTACTTATATTTGACATTGCACATTCATAATTTTATATTGATGTTGCCACCATTTTATAAGAGCATTATGAATTTTACATTAATGTAAAACATTTTTTTTACTTTTTAAATATTAAATATATTTAAAATAGAAATTAATGCATTGTATTATTACTAATAATAAATTAATATTATTTTATTATACAATAAAAAATTATGATTATTATTTTTGTTATTATAGACTGGTATTACATTTAGAGTCAAGGTATTATGTTTTGAAATCTGAAACACTCAAGTGAGCATACAGCGGTTTGGCCCGAGGGCACAATTTAGTGTAACACAAATTTTCATGCTGTCTGTTGAGGAGTTGTCATAACCTGCAGGAATGATGTTGCTGAGCATACTATTTCTAACCATGTTCAATTTCCTTCTCCGCCACACACTCCAACAAATGCAGACTTACAGGTAATGAAGCAAGATGACTTAGCGTGCCTACGTACACCAACAAAACGCATGCTACTGTGCACTGTGAGGTTCACACACACATCTCATGCATGATTGATTTTTTGCTTGCGCACAAACATACATGAATACTGGAATCGACACAACCAAATATGCTCCCGTTTCACACACTGTCTAAACCAAGTGCAAAGCAACAAGAAATTGTCTGTCCACAATGAAAGCAAAAATGCAATGTGTAGAAGAATTTTGGACCAATTTTGCACTAGACAGGAGCTACCAAGTGTTACCAGTGGTAACAATTTTAGAGTGGGGGGTTTTAAAAATGAGATACAACATCAAGCCAGTTTTACAGTTTCATCTTTGGAGATGTCAAAACTGAAATATCATCAATTTAACATCAAGATACTGTCAATAGTGCACTGATTAGATGTTCCTTTACATTATTGTCACTCTCCTTCCATCTCAGCGTGGGTTAGAGAAGCCAATGTCTTTATCTCTTTCGTGTGATCTCTCTTTTACACCTATCACGCTCTCGGCCCTCCTTGCTCGATCTCCTTTCTCTTGCACTCCATGAAACCTCTTATTCAGATCAGCACCAGCCCTCTCAAAAGATGCTCTCCTGCTGTAATACGGTAGAAAAGAGATGAAATTCTCTGTCTTATAACTTCTAATAAGTGTGTTCCAAGGTCATCCTTCTCATAAAGCCTCCATCGTAACCCCACCCCCCATCGAGCCGGGATGAAGACAGACCATCTAATAGCAACAGACAGCTGCGTCTAAGAGTGGATGAGCGAGAGAAAGGGGAAAAAAGAAGGAGAGGGTAATTATCCGAAGTGCAGTTCTATGCTCTTTTCAGCCGAGCAAAAAAAAACGGCGTTTATGAGGGCCCTCCTGCTGAAATAAGCTGATGATGTATATGTTTACAAGAGGCTGTTTAGACGAAAAACAAAGGAAGTGAGAAAAGACGTCTTTGGCGGTTCGCGATGAGTTTATATTCTTTCGCAAAACGCCGGTGTCATATTCAGGGTCTCTCAAGCACATCAGCTAATGCAGGAAGTCCATGAAAACAGATCAACAAAGCCGCATCTCACCAGCTGAAAAATAAAAAAAGATTGAGAGTGAGAGTTTCACTCCAGTCACAACTTCCACATGCTTATCATTTTGTTACACACACACTTCTCCATGACACTTCTCCGTTTCTCAGCAAAACTCCGGCTTTGCCTTCCTGTCGAGGTGTGATGGGAGAAATCCCACTGAGGGCGAGAAGAGCGTAGCCTTGTGCTGTGAGTTTCGTGTATACACACACATACACATATACACACACAAACACACACACACACACTGCTCACAGCAGACAGGGTGTTGATAGATCTGACATCTGGAGCTGCTTGACAGGGCAAGAAAAAAGCAAACAGAAAAGAGGAGATGAAAAAGAAAGAAGGGAAGAGAGGAGAGGGAAGAGCCTGCCAGGGTTCCATGCCTTTTGCCTTCTCCATTTAAGTGGATTTGAGGAGATTACGGTGGAGTGTTTAGCATGTTTAGCTCAACATTTGTAGCAGTGTAACAGCCTGTGATGGCTCTGCTGCCCAAATGTCAGAACTAATGAAAATATGAGATGGAAAGGCTGCTTCAACCATTAATGGGAACAGATTAAATTGATGTAAGCATTAAAAGGGTAGGGAGATAGAAACATCTTCCCATCTTGAATTAAAACGGAATTGCTGTAGTGGGAGAGAGCGAGACAGACAAAAACATGGAATCAACAAGAAAATTCAGAAAATGGATATGTTAGCTCAAAAATAAGAAAACAAATGTTGTCATTCTGTACACTGTACTCAAATTCTGTACTCACCCACATGTCGATTCAAACCCAAAAGGAGTGGAACACAGAAGGAGACATTTTGAAAAAAGTACTGGTCGTTCTTTTTAGTACATATACAATAAATTGGGACTGGAGCTTTGCAGCTTCAAAAAGGACACTAAAGCATCATAAAAGTATCCATATGACTTGTGTGCTATATGTATTTATTATGATTATTAAGCAAAATATTAATTTTCTTTATTATTATTCACATTATAAAAATTAAATTAATAAAGAAACATTACTATTGCAATAATACTAGAATATTGTAAAATAGAAAAATAGTACTTAATAATAATAATGATGATGACAATTTTATTTTATAGAACAACAAAATTACAATACTAATATTTATATCTTTATAACTTACTTTGCCTTTAAATGTTAAATTATAAAGCTTTTATTTTGGTGGAAAAACCTTAGGAGACCTAAGTTTCTCTTTTGTTGAAAACATATTAATAAAAAAAAATTCTCATTACATTAAAATGCATGCATTTTTTTTCTCATTGAATTTACACAATTCATGTGGGTCATACTTCAGGTTGCAAAATATGGAAATCTGTATCAATATGGAAGAATCACATAAATTCTGAGTCTTCTAAATACAACAACTTTGTGCCATTAATAAATTGGAATTTAAGTCATTATTTATTGAAAATCCTGAGGAACTATAGATTTCATGAGAGAAGTAGCGAAAGTTGAATGATGAACAAATCATTCTGAGTTGGACCTTTTAAATGAATCAATTGATCTGGTTAACAAAAACCGAAAAGATCAGGTTCCCACGTCCAGCACTCTATGAGTCAGTCACAGCAGTTAATAGAGTGGAGGGAAAGAATATACGTGAATAATAACTTAAATTGTGGTCTATTCATCACATGAAACTATTTTTATGAAATATTTGTTATGAAAGTAGTCATGTGAAAAGAAAATAATATTTCTAATATGAAAGCAGTCATATGGACTATGATATTTTTGGAACTGAAAAAAGTCTCATGGGTTTGGAAAGACATAAGGGTTAGTTAATCATTTTCATTTTTGGGTGAACTATCCTTTTGAAAATAATTCTCATTTAAGAAAATCCAGGATGAGCCACAGCACTGAAGTTTCCCACAAGGAATACTTAAAAAAATACCTAATTATATCTCTACAATTGTGTAAAGTTCAGTGACATTATGGTATTAAATTTGCCAACGGCTCTGAGATTTGATTGAGAATGGGTGCAACGGGTGAAAATTGCATCATGTGTGTAAGAAAAGAAAGAGACTGGTATTGGAAGTTGAAAATAAGTACAGTGTGTTTTAGAGTGTGACAGACACTGTCCAAGGTGCTGCAGAGTTTGACACTTCGAGTGAGCGCTAGATGGAGGGAGTATGGTGGAATGAGCGCTGTCCAAGGTGCTAGTAAGCACAGTGCGCTGATATTAGAGTGTGTGGGGAATGCGAGGGTGAGAGAGCTATAGATGGCTTGGCTCTCACTCTAGGCACAAACAGAAGGTTCCAAAGTGTTATTCAGCACAGATGACAGCCAGCCTTCTCTCTCACACAATCACACACAAGCTCTTCCATCATGTGTGTTTTCTGAAAACAAATTAGCCTTTATCATTTACTGCTGTGTGTTTTAAGTGAGGTTTAAGAACCTTATTCTAAAAATGAGTCAATCTGTACAACTGTAGAAAAGAAACTAAAACAGTCCGATTATGTGTAATTAAATCATTGCTTGAATATTTTTTTAATTCACTGTCAATACTTGTATTGACATATAACATGGTCAGACATGTGGTTATTGTACCATTGATGCATTTAATAATTAGTTTCTAGACCTGAACTAGGAAAGTATTTAATAGAAAATTAAGTAATGCTGTAAAAAATAAAATAAAAATCATGACACCAACTGCATTTATTAATTGAAGTTAATGTTTTTATATATATATATATATATATATATATATATATATGTTAAATACATTTTTAACAACTTCAAACTATTTCAAACTGTATAAACATAAATTACAATAATAAAACATATTATTGTAAATAGAAAAACACACAGTATTGTTCACGGTTCATATTTTGACATTAGCTGAGCATAATAAAGGCTGTAAAGACCTGAACTAGGAAAGTATTTAATAGAAACATATTTGGTAATACTTTACAATAAGGTAATACTGCAAAAAAACTAAATAATGATACTATCTGCATATATTCAGTTAATGTTTTACATTTAAACTTAAATTATAAAAAAATTGTTTGCAATAATGAACAATACACACTTATAGACACGCATACACAAAATATTTTTCAATGTTATTATAAAACAATGTATAAATGTATATAAAGTATATTATAAATTATATGAAAAGAAAAATTTCAAATAAAATTTTAAAACATTAACCTAGAATAATAAAGCCTGTAAGAAATATGCTATTTCATTGCTACTTCATTTCTAGATTTAATTATTTATACAAATAAATTACTTCCCAATATTTTTAAGTGTTTCTGTTTTTCATTACTTTTGGAGACTTTTCAGAATAGACCGCAATTATGCCTGTAGTTCAAAGGGTTCATGAACTTCAACCATTGTATTTTGAATACCCAATTTCTTGGGTACATTGTTTCTCTTCAGAAACAGGGTTAGAGGTGGTGTACGTTAATACTGAATTTACATTTTCATTCCTCCTTTGAGAAAATTTGCAAAGCTCTTTAGATGTCATGTGTATATCCCTTATCTGTGAATGAGCATGGATCACAGAGAATCCCTCACAGCAAGTTGTTCCTTTTCAAAATATTATAATAAGTCAAAGGGATTCTTCATTGTTCTTAAGTGGAGGATTTGGGGGCATTATCTTTCTGAAGTCTCTAGCTGCTCCAGGTCAATGCAAGAATACAGACCACCAGCACAGTGTGAGACAGAACAGGTGCGCAGACGACCTCTGGCATCTGAATGCTGCATTTTGCCAATGCAAGATGTAGGTTATAAATCGCCTGAACAAATATCCTACAAAAGTCAAAATTAAATTAAATGTTTAACAAGCACATGTGGAGTTCAAGAGAACAGTTTCCAACATTTTGATATCAAATCCTACCACATAAACCACTATAGTTTGATAATTGCAACAAATGCTCAATGTGTTTGTGTGTTTTTTGTCTTACAGGTTTCATATGCACGGCCCAGTTCGGCTTCTATCCGTGACGCTAATCTGTACGTGAGTGGGCTGCCCAAGACCATGACCCAGAAGGAGCTGGAACAGCTCTTCTCTCAGTACGGACGGATAATCACCTCCCGCATTCTCGTCGACCAGGTCACAGGTATCAGTGGGACCGCTTTTCTCTCACCCTGTAGCATGCAAACAAACAAACAAATAAATTCTCTCATTTCGCATAAAATAATCACACAAATCCACAATCTATTCGAAGATTTTACTTTATTGCAGCCGCTTGAATATATTCAGTACAGTTAAAGCCAAAACATAAGGAATTCTGCAACTCTTTGAGTGATTTGTTGGCTCCATATTAAAGTTGGAGGAAGCCAGGCTTAAATGGCATTATCTAGTCTGATTTTGCAAAAAACAGACTAGTGCGATTTAATCATTTCCATGACATTTAAAAATATGATTTTTTGCTTTAGTCAGACTGAAATCGAACTTGTGTATCTAAACATTCAACCAGCATAACAAAAAATGTTTCTGAAGACAATCACCTATTGCACCTTTAATGTGTACTAATACAGGGTTTCTGCAGGTTTTATGGAGATAAATTTAAGACTTTTTAAGACCAATAAATAAAATTTAAGGAAATTGAATGGAACACAATACATTATTAATATGGTCTTCAGATGTAAAGTGTTGTATCAGCAACACTTCAAAGACTAAAAATAGAACTTCCAATAGATCTCCATTATTTTTAATTAATATTACAAAAATTACTGTACCATCTGATCACACTGCAAAGAAGTGCAAATTCTGCACATTCTTAAATCAATATACATTTACTAGAGAACCTAAATTATATAAAATAAGAAATCTTGTTTTATGAGAAATTGATCAAAATTGATTTTATGATAAATTCAAAGGAAAAACAAGCCTACTGACAGATATTTGTTCTTTTTTAAGCATAAACTCGCTTCATTTAGTTCAATTTCTCAGGAAACAAGACTATATGTTTTTGCATTGCAAGTAAATGTATCTTGATTTAAGGATATTTTTATATTTTTATTGGAAAACAAAAAATACTGAGGGAGATACATATTTTTTAGTACATGCTACATTTAATAACTTTGTGAATTTAAGATTTTCTGCTCTTATTTTAGACTTTTTTAAGCCTTAATTTGTTTAAGGGTGACTTTTAAAACTTTTTAAGACCCACAGAAACCCTGAAATAGACACACACAAGCTCAACCATGTAGTCATCTTCTGTGTGTAAATGTACATTGTTGTTTGTTTGATGATCAAACAGCAGAACCAAGTTCATGACATGGAAAGACTGATGAGTCTATTTTAAAGCATCCAGCCGTCTCCTTGGCCTATCCTTCCTCCAACATTATGAATAAATCAACCAGGATATAAATGGTCATGGAGCTGAATTTCTTACACATTCAATATTTTTTTTACAACTGCATAATTCATAATGGCACTCACCATGCAAACAATATCGTATAAGCCACAGGAAAATGTACTTCATGTTCTAGTGGTGCCAAACCCTTTCTGAAGAACTGCTGAGGAATGCTGCATGGTCATATGCACACATACACACACAGAGGCCTTCCTCCCTTGACACGGATCCTTCCTCTGGCCTTGCAAAGGCTTCCCGGGAGAAAAGGGTCTGGAGGGAGCTTAATGATTCATTAAACCTGAGTTGCTAGTGATTAAGAATCAAGGAGTGTTTTCTTTTTGAAGCTACTGATCGGAGGGCTGCGTAAAGATACATGGAGCAAATATTACAACTCTTCTGTGAAGCCCTAAAAGCCAAACAAGGATTCTGCGTCTGTCAAAAAAAAGTTGAACTCTGAAAGAGGGATTAGACGTGTTACTCAAGACCAGTTAATAGTTTAATTAAATCTGACATAAATGTTGACAATTCAGATTAAGTCACCAGTCACATGGGCCATCCATATGCTGACAGGATCTGATCACTGCAAAATCACTGCAAGCCATTAGTTGTACATTTGCCCCATATCTGAATACTGATGTCATTAGCAAAACAGAAAATAGTGATTTCGTACAGGCGCATTTATGTAGAAGGAATGATTCTTATGAGGCGATTCTTTCAACTGAATCAAAATTAATTAAAGGCATATCTAATTCTGTGTCATTTTCCTCTGTATGCCAGTTTCAAGACACAGCATCCTGAAATACCAACGAAAGTCATTAATAAAGACAAACACATATGGTATGATAAACTAACAGTGGCTTTGCCTTTCTGAAATAATAATACATCATACATCCTTGTCATAAGTTTCTTGGTAACAATTAGGGAAGCATTTTCTCTGTTCGCCCTCACAGAAATAATGTATTGCGATGGAAGTCCTCTTCCCACATGTCTCATTTATGTAACTCGTTCCCTAGGGTGTGTCTGTTTGTTTTGAGTTTATTGGGGAAACGTGACTAAATTACAGGGATTTGGAAAGCTTTTAAGTATTTGACTGAATCCACGGCACGAGTACTTAAACCTAGCTTGTAACCTAAGTGAAGTATGATAGGTTTGGCGCTTTGATCAATAGTCAAATATTCAGAGCCTTGCCTAGCATTCAATACATGTCCCATCAATGAGAGCAAATACAATTGATCCATAACGCCGGCTCCTACAAGCTGTGCCTCTTAAGTGAAAAACGACTGCACTCCCATGAGCTACTTGTAGAAATCCCTCTTTTAAAATGCTACGCTTTCTCCTCTTCCGCCGCCTTTTCTTTACTCGCTCATTGATATTTTCCTATGACTTGAATTCCATTAACTATACAGTGTGAGCGCGCTGTCAGGAATGGTTTGAAACACAACGTCAAAATGCATTTGAGCCAACGTTGCACGACGAGTGTCCAAATCAAAGCCTGTCGAACACAAAGGATCTGTGATGTATACAATGAATCGAGATGCTCCACCAGACATTGACACCGCTGCCTTGGCCTCCAATTACACAAGGACAAACAGATGGATTTATAGCCGTGCGCTGGCAGAACCAGGCAAAGAGCTGCTCAAGTCTTCAAAGACCTTCCTTACTGAGCCTTTTCAAACACCATCTGTAGCACAGCAACTAAAAGTTACATAAAACAAGGACGTCGCTCTCCTTTCTCTGATTAGGCAGAAGCTACGGCGAAGAGGTGTACGCTTTTTTTCCCTCATAATATATTTAGCGCACTAGTTTAATAAATGTTCCATACAGTTGGCACAGCCACTTAAAAGTGAGAGAATGAGAGACAATGGAGAGGTGCTTATGTTCAGACAGAGGAGAGAAGGCTTTCATTAACAGCCGAGCTTTTCTGAGCTTTCCCTTTTACCCCTTAGGACTCTCTCTCTCTCTCTCTCTCCTGTACGCAGTAAGTGTTGAGGACCAGAACAGTGGGCGTGCAGTAGAAAGCGCTTTGTCAGGCCGGCTATGGCGGTCTCTTGCCACTGTTTCTTGAGCGCTCGCTCTGTGTGTCACGGTTATTATTAAACTCAGCATTCTCCGGCTTCATGTGTGCTGAGCCGAGATAAGTACAGGTAGAAAGTTACATAAGGTAGGAGTGATTACCGGGAGAATAGTGCTGTTAACCGGCACATTGTAGCCGTAACTCTGTTCGGTTCATGATAAGCGCTAAAAAGGAGCTAGCGGTGGCAGTGTCTCCTGTTTTAGCCCGGCCGCTCGCTTTGTTTAGGCAGCCTGTTATAGAAACGGCTGCAGGCTCATTATGGTAATGTCAGGGAAGCGAGGGGAAAAGAAAAAAGTAAAGCACAGTCAACATTAAGGCGCCCATTTGCATTTTTTAACCGTTAAACTGCGAGCTTTTTTCTGGACCCTAATTTTAGCGATTCTGCAGGCGTCTGATAGATCGTCAGCTGTTTGCTGAGTTGCAGCCTGAATGACATTGGTCAGCACTATTTCTACCCGAGGAAACCGAGATCCCATCACAATTTCATTAGTTGTGTTAGTGCACAATGCAGAAACCCTCTGGATTGAATCATATTACAGACAAGGACCCTACGACTCTGTTTTTTTTTTTAAGGTATGATATAAAACAGACTTCCAGAAGACAAAAGAACACAATAGACATTAGTTTGAAATATTGGTTTGCTGTTTAACAGTCATCAGACCCATCATTCATAATGATATGCAGGGATGTGCAAAATTCTGAAATGAAAAATTGGCTCCCTTTCGATTTACAAGTTTGAATTTAAAATTTGAATTGGAATGACAGGAAGAGGTGCATGAATTAAAAGGACAACTGTAATGCGTTGTGGAAAAAAAACATTCTTTCACTCTTTCCTACAAAGCTAATTTATTAAATATAATGAAACATTTAAATGAAGTACAATTTCTACAAGAAATTCTATAGATATCTGTCTGTAAGGCCTGAACCTTCAATAATAAAGGCTTTCAAACACGGAATTGTCAATTCAGCATTGCTTTTCTAGTTAAAAATTACAGTTATATGAATTTCAATTCATTTTAATTCAACTTACGTTCAATTCTTAACCCTGTTTGCTACCTCAATTAAAATTCAGTTCAAATTACGGAACTGAACCAGAATTTAAAGGCTTTCTTAATTCAATTCCGAATGATACACGACCCTAACTTTATGACTTGTTATGGCAAACGTAGTCTATGTTTGGGATGGAATACTAGCATACTGGTACTCCTGCATACTGTGCATATATAATACTGTGCAGTATATAATAAAAAAAGTAAAGTAGTATGTTTGTATGATTTTCCAAATATAGCCATATCATAAGTTTGGTAGGACTTGACCTTTAACATCTGAGTCCATGTCTGGCAATAACTTCACAGGCAGCGTTTTGTGTATGGAGATGCCATCAAAAGAAACTGGTTTGAGATAGGCTTCCAAGCCACATCTAATGAGCTAAAACAAATTCAAGAAAGCTTTAAAGCAATATTTATATTTATTTCTAGAAATAAATGAAGACGAATTTTTTTTTTTTTAAATACATTTATTAAAAAAGTCAAGTTGTTTCTATTTATTCCACCAACCGTCAAACTGCACATTGTGGGATATTTGGAGGATACGTATCTGCTGCCTTCAAAAGCAATTAAAGTAGAGAAAGGAAAAATTGAAATCGCATCATATGACCCCTTTAAGGCATTATGGTAGACAGGATGTTACCAGACATTGGATTTGGACATGTCTTGATGCCTTCCTCTCCCAGCTTTTGGACTCAGTCGGTGTTGTGTTCATCCTAAACAAGCAAAAGCAAAGATAGCATATAGTTTATGTCAGATCCATCAGTTCATTCCTGCACACTTAAACTGACAGACAGAAACAAAAAGTCGTCTAGTTTTGGATCAAAATTTTATGAAACGGAATGTGTAATCTCTTGTATTTTTAGATACTTGAGCTGTTGCATGTCAAATATCTTCTAGACAGAGAGAGGAACCGAGAGAGGAGGTGTCATTCCCAGTTTTCTCTATCTGCTCCACTTTCTAAGGATTCTGCTTTGACCTCAACATCACTACGCGGTGAGCACGAAGCTAACCGTGCATCCTAAACTCTCTGGAATAATGCATGCTTTTTACTTCTGATGGTCTAATTAAAGAGAGCAGGTTTTAGGAAGGGAGAGGGAAAAGTGAAAAGCTGTCAGGAATGACTCACGCTGCGAGGGAAAGAAAGTAATGCAGCCGCAGTCTGAATGAAAGCTCACTGCATTGAAAAGATTGTGTGCAAATATTTGTTTGCAGAACGGAACATATCAAAAGACACTGATTTGAATAGACAATCAGGCAGCACAACAGAAAACATCAATACTAGCGGGTGACAGCTGAGAGAGTGAGAGGAGAACGAACTGACAATATAGACACACACACTCGGCACTCGCACACAAATGCGTGTTCATTGTATTATGCAAATTGCCCTCTTGGCAAGTCGTCTCCACACGCACCTCCTCAGAGCAGAAGGATCGTCTCATTAAAAACCAACCCAACAAAAGACCTCCCAGTATGCCAGGCTCTTTTAAATGCTACTTTCAGGTAGCGGTCAAAACGCAAACCACGGAAATGTCGCGGACAAACTGCATACCATGAGGCGGCGTGTGGCCGTCAGCTGCCGCAAACCACACAGCGTGAGGCCGTCGCACACACGCGCTCAATTTCCACACCAGCGGGGCGACAGCATCAATATCGCCGTACTCTCATGAAGAAAAGAAAACAAATTACACATCTGCGTAACAGCACCGGAATGCTGGCCGGCCAATAGAATTTCACCATTCCACTGCGCCTCATTTGCATAATGTGACACCAGCAATAGGATCCATCACACAGGCTGCATAGCTCGGTCATTTGTCGTTTTCAACGCCAAATCATTTTCAGTCTCTAAATATAGATATGAATCACTCTGAAAGAAGGTGTGCAAGACAGGAAGTGTGTGCATTTGTGTTTGGTGCATTAAAGTCATGTTGGAAAGATCGTATTTACTAGTTGAACACACATGAAGGCCAACACAAAGTCCTAATTATGAATGGCGATGGATTTATATGTTTTGATAAGTTTATAACTTTTTTATAGCATTACATCACTTGCTCACCAATGGATCCTCTGCAGTGAATGGGTGTCGTCAGAATGAAAGATCAAACAGCTGATGAAAACATCAAAATAATCCATAATTAATCAAAATGATTCCAGTATATGTATTCATATCTTGTGAAGTGAAAAGCTGCGTGTCTGTAATAAATTCATTAAGGCATTTTAATTGTAAAATGTTGCTTCTATCCAAAATCCATAATAACGCTTCCTCCAGTGAAAAAGTCCATCCCCTGTTGTCCTCTCACATCAAAATCCACCTACATGTTTGTTTAGAACTGTTTTGGATTGTTTTCAAACGAGGCAACATTTTTCACTAATAACAGGAAGCAATGGTTTGAAGTTTTAATGATGGATTTGTTTCTTGCAAACACAGCTTTTCACTTCCCAAGACGTTAATTTATGGACTGGAATCATGTGGATTACTTGTGGATTATTGTGATGTTTTTAGCAGCTGTTTGGACATTCATCACGGCACCCAACCATCCTGATCCATTGGTGAGCAAGTGATGTAATGCTAAATTTCTCCAAATTTGATCCAACAAAGAAATAAACTCATCTTGGATGGCCTGTAAATTTTCAGCAAATTTCCATTTTTGGGTGAACTATTCCTTTAAGCCAAGAGTTTCTGAGTTGGGGGCATGTCAGTGAAAAAAACATGTCGGATACAATGGACATAGCATCTGTTTTTAAAAGAAGAGAAAAATCTAGCTGAAATTTTTGTAGAAAAGGTGTATTACCATCTTGCTCCGACCAAAGCGACTTGAACACACTGGCATTGTAATTACAACTTTCCAACACGTAAATACGAACTTTCCAGGAGGACTTGAACATACCATTAATGTTGCTGTTGCAGGCTGGATAAAGCCAGTAAGCGTATGGTGTGTTGTTTCTGGTGTGCTGGCCCCACAGGTGGCTCGCGGGGTGTGGGCTTTATTCGCTTTGATAAGAGGATAGAAGCGGAGGAAGCCATCAAGGGTCTGAATGGACAGAAGCCCTCAGGTGCTGCCGAGCCCATTACGGTGAAGTTTGCCAACAACCCCAGCCAGAAGACAAGCCAGGCACTACTGTCACAGCTGTACCAATCCCCCAACCGCCGCTACCCTGGACCCCTCCACCACCAAGCGCAGAGGTTCAGGTGAATACAATCCGTCTACAATAATAATATGTATATTTTCTTACATAGCTTCCTTTGAAACTCACATCAAATTTGGTGGAATTGCAAGGCAAAATAGGTGTCTGGATTATGAAACTGCTAGAGCTCAAGTTGTGTGTCACGTCACCACTGAGGAATAGCTGCTCCCAAAAACCTGCAGAAACAAAATGATATTCAGAAAAGAAACCGAAGCGAAGGACTGATAAGAGACAGTGGGGTTCTGTCATTCACAATGTCCCTCTGATTTCGTTTTCCATCCTCCTCCCCCTTCTTTCATTTCACATCTGTTCCTTTCATTTCAGTTCAGCAGGCCAGCAATAACTTCACTCTGGCAGCTAACACCTTTACAGCCCTGGGCAGCGCTTCTCAACCTTTTTAAAGGCAATGTGAAGTTAATTTTCTCTACCGTACCCCCACACTACGCATTTAGTTAGTCACAGGCAACAATAACAACAACTTTTTGATCCCGCCGTTGAATTGCAAGGTCTTTGCTTAAGATCTCCTTTCCTCGCAGGCCAATTCACATTAACTATGAGTCATGTCTTATGAGCTTCCAGTTGGCAAAGCCTTCCAAAATACATGGTCATCTTGCAGTGAAATTTTATTGCTTAATAGCAGCAGATATCAATTCACAATCAAGCAGACATTGAATATAGTATCGATAGTGTTAGCTTTAGCCATTTAGCATAATTATACTTCGTGTTTTTGTGCTTCTAGGACATGAAGAACTTGGTTTCTTGGTTTAATCAAACTAGAATCAAAGCAGGTTGACATTTCAGTATATGCTTAGCTGAACTAGTGGATTTTTGAACCATTGCTTATACATGCAATTTACGTATGCAAACTTATTTTGAACATTGGCAACAGGGTATAATGTCATGTTCCAGGGCTCCTGTACTGAAAAAAAATACATTATGAATTGCACATAACTTTTGAGGTCAGAGTTCACCTAAAAATTAAATACTTTTACACATCTCTGTTCACAATCGTATGAATGGAAGCATAACGGACTCTAGTATGCAGCTCATAAGAACCATTCAAGATATTTCATTATTCAGTTGTATCATAAATATAAAATACTTTGGATGAGTTACAGTCTATCTCCTCTAGATGCACGAACTGTCGGTGTGATGTTTACTTTAAAGCAAGAGATCTTTTGTTTAGACAAACAGGACTCGTCAAGCAATTAGCACTGCACAGCAATACTGATAACAGAAATCAGTAATTAATTCCTCATACATCACAAGCACTTATTATTGAAGAGATCTGAAAAGGATGAGTCCCATTTGCATGTATTAGTCGGCCGTACAAAGGCCTCATTGTGTTGTGTGTGTGTTTGGAGAGGAAGTGTGAAAAGCTGTAGGCCAGGCCAAGCGGGGTTGAGATACGCCTGCATATATCTAACACATCGCCTGCTCTTGCACCTCAGAGCCCTCTCTCCAATTAACTAATTTACCCACAAAGCAACCTGCCTCCCTAATTGGCTAATTGGCATCTTAATGACTCGACACTGAATGTCCTCGTTTAATTTTGGCTTCATTTTTTCTCCAAGTTTACACGAGACAGTTACCAACTGTTGACCCACTACGGAGAGGGAGGGCCAGCATGTGTACGTGTGTATTTGTCTGGAGAAGTTCAGTTTGAAATGTGAGAAAGCAGTAATTAGCCCTCTCGGCCATCTTGCAGCTTTAATAGGAAATGAGACAAGGCTGAGCCGAGTGAGGGACGGAGGTCACAGAGTAGCCAAACAGACAGGAGCCTAAAATAAGAATGACTGATGGGGAAGGAAAGCTTAATATACCGGCCCGCTGGGTCACTGGGGCTAATAGAGAGACTGCACAAGAAAGAGACAGCAAGAGGAAGAAAGGGCACTCCCAGTTAATGCTGCATTACATCCTGCCTACAACTTCATTGAAATGTCATTTTATATTAAAGTTTTCAGGTAGGCTGAAGGATGGCCCCAGACCAATTTCATCTAGCATATTACTAGCATATTATCTGCACATGTTCAGACACCAAGATTCATTCTTAATATATCATTCTGAGTATTTTTTTATGATTCATTTATTTCCCTTTTTGAGTTTTATTTTCAATTTGCTCATATCCTTCTTAATCATTCTTTAATTGTCACTATAGAAATACATTACAGTATTGCAATATACTCGAAATATACACATTCTGTTCTGGGCGAATTTAACCGAATTCTCCAATTTACTGTTATATATATACAGTATATATATACAGTATCTCACAGAAGTGAGTACACCCCTCACATTTTTGTAAATATTTTATTATACCTTTTCATGTGACAACACTGAAGAAATGACACTTTACTACAATGTAAAGTCAGTTTGGACATTTTCACTTAGGGGTGTGCTCACTTTTGTGGCCAGCGGTTTAGATATTAATGGCTGTGTGTTGAGTTATTTTGAGGGGACAGCAAATACTCACTGTTATACAAGCTGTACACTCACTACTTTACATTGTAGCAAAGTGTCATTTCTTCAGTGTTGTCACATGAAAAGATATAATAAAATATTTACAAAAATGTGAGGGGTGTATTCACTTCTGTGAGATACTGTATATATATAATTAGAAAATATCCCACATTATTTAAAAAACACCTAAAATGTCTTAATTAGATAGATAGACAGACAGACAGACAGACAGGTCAAATGAAAAATATATGGCCCAATTTACCTGAATACATTTAAGCTCCTGTTTTTGAGGCGTGGCTTCCACTGGATCGCCGTCCAGCTCAGGGTTATTTACTGCAACTTTAAAATATAAAATATATTTATATATATTCATCATATTAGAAAATATAGCATACACAGATATAAATAAACACCAGTACATTAAAAATCATCCTTAATTTAATTATAGCTCCCCACATTGTTTGAAAAAACAAAAACAAAAAAATATATATATATATAATATATATTAATTGACCTAAATAATTAGAGCGTGCAAGTCAACCTATTGCAGTTTGTATTTGTATATATGTTACATAAATGATGTAGTGAATAATATTTTAGGACTGCAGCACTGTTAGGCTAAACAACTGAGTGGGCATTCAAGTGATCTACTGTTATCATTAGTGCTGCTGCAAGTCTGCTGTTCTTTGGATGTATGATTGACTCTGTGAGATGCCTGATGGGGCAGCACAGTGTAATGGCCCATCGTTAGATGGGCGTCTTCCTTCAGTGAGGCAGGGATGTAGCATTAGTTCCACTGAGTGAGTCAACCATCTGCCTGGCATTAACCCCAGAACCCTCCTTCTCTTTACAGGCTGGACAATTTGCTTAATATGGCCTATGGCGTTAAGAGGTAATTAAAACTTCACCGAATGCCAGATGTCCATGTTGACAGTATGATTTTTTCCCCTTCTTTTTGAAAATCACATGCATTCAGTTCAGTTCAAGGTTTTTTTTCCCTTCTCTTAAGTTCTTTTGCTTCTTTCTACTTTTTTTTTTACTTGATTATTTTTTATTTCAACCTACCGATCTGTAGCCCTAAAAAGTGTAAGTATCTTTTATAATTTATAGTGTTTGATTATGATGATTCTACATTTTTTTATGAGTTCCGTTTTGGTATTTTGTATTTTATTGTTGTATAGTTCCTGTTTTGAAGCGTGGCTTCCACAGGATTCAGGGGCTGAAGCCGTACCTCCGTCCAGCTCAGGGTAACACACTGCCAACAACTGAACAAAATTATGTATATTCCCAATGCATTACATTTACAACAGCTAAAATGCATGGATCGATGGAAGGCTATTATGTTTTTCGTCTACTTGTTTCCATTTTATTTGTTGGAATGAGCTGGTCTAGAGCGAGACGGAGGGGGTGACAGCTCACCTGGATCCCTGCAGGAAATGTAGTGTTTCACTGCAGGTTTATGAGCCTCTGATCAGTTGGGTTTGCTCATGTTCTTTTTGCTTTGTGCTGCTGTGGATGTAGTGAAAAGGCTTCTTTTGAACATGTTTTAGTGCTTATGACATTTTGTTGCATATTTTAGTATCTATTGAAACACTTTGATGTCCCTCGAACACCAAACACTCAAGGCTAAGATTGAGGGAGTAGCATGAAAAGATGTGCATTCTGCACATTTCTTTTTTTCAGATACCTCTCCGTTAAGACTAAAGGCTCTGCATTTACTAAATTTCTTCTCTTTCTAGAAAAGTCCTTTGCGCTTCAGCGCTGGCTGATCAGAATGAACCAATCTGATGATTGTTGATAGAAAACATACTTTTTTTGCTAAATCTGAAAAAAAAGTGCAACCATAAAAAAGGATATGCAAATGAAGCAGTCTTTCAAAACAAATGACGAGACGAAAGATTCCTTTTTATTTACACTCACTGCGATCAGCTGTCAAATAAGCCAGTCTGCCTCAAGAGAGGGAAAATTTAGGGGAGATGTTGTGCTCACAGAGCATGCCATAGAAAGTAATTAATAAACAAAGACCAGTCTGAAGAAGTGAGCATCGCTAGGTTAAGATGGGCAGCTTGGAAGGGTGGGATGGCTCTAGGTCAGTCGCTTGTTGCTATGCAACTCCTCATCCAACTGTTTGCCTTAGTTCGAACAACAGACAGCGCTCGGTCCTGCCCTAGTAGTCACCAGACACCTCTGTGTCAGCAATACACTAGTCCGACCCTCGCCCGCTTGCCCGCAGATGACTGGCATCCAAATTACCACGAAGCCAAATTCGATGAATAATGGCTTCGGATTCATTATTTACACAGAAATACCAGCATAATTGAAGTCATGAGATGGTTGCTTGTCACAAGGCGCAAAGTGAGCCAACTTACCCTTAATTTACATAATGAGACGCCAGCGACAGGACACAAAAGCGAAAGAGAGAGACAGATGTATTGACTCTGCCAGGACGAACGGGCTAAAACGCAGATGAAATGTCTGAGTAATTCTTGGCAGAACAAGAAGCAGAGAATTGGCCAGCCCTGTAGTCCGTGCAGTGCTATCGATCACA